CAGGGTATCATTGCTTTCCCACTAACGCCAACTAGGTCTGTGATTTTGACGACTCTCTAAATACAGAGTGTCATTGTTTTCCCACTAACCAGATGCCTCTCTCTCTCTCTGTCACTCCCTCGCCGCCGTCTACTATACATAATGATCGAACAAGGAATAATTGAACACGTCGAAATCTTTGGCAAACATGGCGACGATCTTCGCGAGATCTCGCGCCGGTATACCCTGATACTCGCGCCTCAGCTCGCCCGCAGTCTCCTCTGCAGCCTCGTACCCCGTGTCCCGCCGCTCAGGGTACACCACGACGTCGGCGAGTCCGTGCACCGCGAGCACGAAGCGCGCGTCGTCGGCCACCGTCTCCATCTTGCCGACGAAATCGTAGTCGACGCCGCAGACGTTACACAGGTCGGCGACGGGCGACCAATGAACGTTGAGCGTTCCGCGTCGCTCGTGACACTGTATGACGTAATCGACGAACTCTGCTAGCGTCGGCGGCTTCCGGCGAAACTCCGTCCACGCGTCGCCGACGTCGCCGCGTCCGCGCATCAGCAGCGGCACGAGTAACTTCCGGTGGTTGTCGTCGACGCCGCCGACGCCCAAGACTTTGTTGCGGAAGGCTGAGAGCAGACGAGAGAGCGGGTCGCGCGCGAACACGAACTTGTAGTAGGTGCGCATGATGCTTTGCTGGTCGTCGGACGGGTAACTGGACAGTGGCCGGAGCAGCGACGGAGAATGGTGCGCCTCGTGGAAACTGACCGTCTCCGGGGGGCGGCCACCAGATGGCAGCAGCAGCGAGAGCAGCACCCGCTTCCAGTTCGTGTTTCCGGCCTTCGGTACGGAGCAGTAGACTAGCTTATACTTGTCTACGACTAGCAGACGAGATTTCCACTTGCCGCTAGAGGCGCTGGTCGCGTTCGCTTCGCCGTAGAGTTGGCATCGCTGCCGTAGCAAGTGCCGTCTGGCGGCGTTGGTGCGAGCGACCGTCGTCATGGTTACGCGGGTCGCGTTGGTCTGCTGTGGAACGAGAAACAAGAGAACGAGAAATTAATAATGGCAAGTGTGCGTGCGTGCGTACGTGCGTGCGTGTGCGTGTATACACGTGAATGAATAAATAATTGAACGAGAGAACGAATGAATTATGTATAAATGAATGAATTAATTAATTAATAAATTAATGAACGAATGAATTAATGAATTAATGAATTAATAAATGAAAAAACGAATGCTATTAAAAACTAAACTAATTAATTACTCAATAACTTAATGAACTATAATGAGTATAGCGCACCGGCGTCGTCGTTGTCGTCCGTGTGTCCCGCCACGTAGGGAGTCTACACGGTGACAGAGACTGAGTCTGCGGATCTGAATGCATCCGGTAAATTGTCATCGCCAAAGCAAAACCTACCGAAGCGAAGAAGACACGAAAAACTCATAACACACGTTAGTCCGTACTGCGGTGCCACTTGTCAGACAAACTGAGAGAACTATGTGATCAGATAAAGAGATAATAATAACCTGTGTATTACTATGTATTATTATATTATGTATTACTGTATGCTGTATACTGCATTACCGTGTGTATTACTATGTATTATTATACTATGTATTACTGTATGCTGTATACTGTATTACTGTGTGTATTACTATGTATTATTATACTATGTATTACTGTATGCTGTATACTGTATTACTGTGTGTATTACTATGTATTATTATACTATGTATTACTGTATGCTGTATACTGTATTACTATGTATTATAATATTATGTATTATTATACTATGTATTACTGTATGCTGTATACTGTATTACTATTATGTATTATAATATTATGTATTATTATACT